ATGAAACTGCGAGAAATGATAGAAGTTTTCACCAAAGACCGATAGCCGTGGAGGCAGTTGACTCCATTTGCAGACACCTGTTGAAGAGGACACGCTGGAAAAAAGGAAAAGAAGTCTTTGTTTCATTCACTTGCGCATTCACTGCAACGAAACTCTCAAAGTTTTATCTGATGCATCGACAGATGCAAGGGCAAGTGCTTGCGAATAGTTCATAGAGAAACCGAAGTGTGACTACCAAAAGGGAATCATCGCCGTTTTTCAGCTCTTCTGTTGCCCGTGAAATCGGAGATCTGGTACCACTCTATCTGCGAAGAGTTCGGAAAAACCTTCAAACGTATAAGATTAATGTGCTTGAGGAATTTCAGCAATACTCTGAAGATCTGCAACCTCGATGAGCATGGTTCTACCCACAAGATAGGGCCATTATGGTGGAAAAACCCTGCAGCACAGGTTGGAAAATTAATTCCATCACTCAGTGCATGACATTGCATAAAAGACCCGTCAGGGTTATTAAAGCCACCATCTATTACAATCAAGCAACTTTCGTCCACACGTCAAGCTTAGCAAAGTAGATACCAGTGAAGGCTAAAATTGTGCCCAATTTATAGTACCGAGCAACAAAAATATTACACAAAAACAGAGGTTGTACAGCAGCATCACAGAAGGACGAAATCTTAAGACCAGACATTCAATAACCAATCTTCGTGAAACTATTTGATAACACGTCTCTACTTTTTCGTAGAATGAGTTCGGTCGACGCTAGAGGTAGAATATTCATCAAGCCACGAAAAACCGAGGAAGACGTCAACGGAAGTCAGGAGGATTCCCGGTACACGATGGCTCTATCTTTGTAGATACCGTTGTTTTCAGTTGATGAAGCCAGGTCATCACTCTTTTAATGGATTTAACGTTTTAGTTACTGCTTAACTTTTAGTCAGGTCACATTTGACGTACAGGGTAAAGTGACGTGTCCCGCAGTGCCACCTAACAAATTCTGGGAATGAATCCTGAGGTAAAAACAGCAATAATACCGCACCATGGAGCCCTAGAAAAAGAACATACTTTTCACATAAACCAAGCACCACAGAAACAGAGTAATAAAGAGCAAAACAATTCATAAATTGAACAGAAGTCTAAGAAAATTGTTGACATGTTAGTTGAAGTTTTCACCATAATAACCAAGCTCCATCTTAACCTAATCATGTTTCATTTTCACTTATATATAAATCAGCGAATTCATTAGTCTAAACCTCATTTCACTAATTAGACATGAAGATCAGTTGAGATCTCGAAGCATTCACGAAGGTTCTTTGTAGCTCAAATAAATGACCCTCGATTCTCAATTGATGAAATCCATTCCAACGTCGTATAGAATGGCTGACGCAGTGGTCTCAGTTGGAAAATATATCGCCTGATGGGAATAATTTTCTATGCT